ATATGCGACGATTATCCAACGATTATACGGAGCATCAACGACGATTCTCACACACGAGGAAGAGTGGAGGGGGTTTCACGCAAGTGCTACTAGAGAGCGCTCGGTTCGCCGCATGCCACCGCCTTCCATTTCCGACCAACGCCTACGCCCAGAACCCATCGGAAACGGAAATGAAAATTTGCACCGTTTCAAAATGACATACACGTGCTCAAGGATTACTAGGAAGCTCGCCACTACCTATACTGGGGGGAAAAGGCAGAGAGAGAATTTTTTTTCCAGTTTCCTTATGGGTAACGCATCAGAATAGAGCACTCTGGGCGAAAATTCCGTCTGTTTGACTCTATCTTTAACTATTTAGGCGCCACAGGGAGTTTTCGACGAAAGCAAGCGAAAAAATGTACAACCCTGCATGCTTAGTCAAAGTGACGGGAAGTTGACGGGCCGGAGGCCCGTGTCTTTGTGTAAATTTTTGCGCTACCCGACTCGGGTGTCAGCGCCGCAGGCCTCCTAGGTAGATGTATGCCAGGCGCGTCGAAGCGCAACAGTGTTTCGTGAGATGTCGCGAAGCCTGTTACGCGAGACGTGGTCTGGTGTACATCTACCTAGTATTTTGCTACCTGTGGTTTTTGATTTTGTTTTTATAAAGTTAATTTTTGAGCCAGAGGGTTCATCTTGGTACTCGATGTATCTTTCCATGATAAAAAACGACCCTGAAATTCCCAAGTCGGTCTCTCAATAGGGTATTTCGGGTAAGCAAACTAGCGGAAACGGAACGGCCGAGCGGCTGCTGGATCCGTCTCAGCCTGCGAACTGCGCATGCGCAGTAGACTCTGCCAAGCCCCGCCGCCCCCCCCCCCCCTCTCCCCCGCGCATCAGCAGCAGAGATGCAACCAGCGGTGAACTGGCTTACCCGAAATACCCTATTCCTTCTCGAGTTATCGTGCGTACAGACAAACAACAGAAAGAACCTTTTCCGGTCAGTGCAGTAATGGGCTTCGCTGATCGCTCAGCCAAAAGGTTACGCGTCTGTCTCTGTTTCTGTCTGTGCGCACGATAACTCGAGATCAATTTGAGGTAGCGACCTGGGAAGTCGTTTTGTTGGCTGAGCGATTAGCGAAGCCTATTGCTTCAGTGATGATCAAAAAGTTTCGCGTCTGTTTGTCTGTCCGTCCGTCTGTCTGTGTGTTTGTACGCACGATAGCTCGAGAACAAATTAAGCTAGCGACCTGGGATTTTCAGGGTCGTTTTGTCTCATTAAAAGACAGATCGAGTTCGAAGAGGAGCATTCTAGCTCAAAAATAGGACTTTTTAAAAATCAAGAACCACAAGACCCTTTAATAATGTTTTTGAAGATATTTTTGTATAGTCTTCTATAGGGCAACTCGTCAAAGTAGAGCCCTGTGGGCTAGCATTACTAGCTATATGTACGTCTTGCGTAACAGGCTTCGCGATATCTCACGAAACACAGTTACGCTGCGACGCGCCTAGCATACGTCTACCTTTAAGCCTGCGGCGCTGACACCCGAGTCGGGAAGCGCCAAAATGGACTCGAAGATATGGACCAATGGCCCGTCAATTGCCCGTCACTTCGACTAAGCATGCAGGGTTGTACATTTTTTCGCTTATTTTTGTCAAAAACTCCCTGTGGCGCCTAAATGGTTAATGATAGAGCCAAACGGACGAAATTTTTGCCCGGAGGGCTCTACTTTAATGAGTTACCCCTTAGGAAATTGCAAATAAAAATGTTTTTAAAAGACAATATTTGTGGGACCTGTGGTTTTTGATTTTCTTTTAAACCGATTTTTGAGCTAGAATGCTCTTCTTTGAACTCGACGTCTTTTAATAATATCAAACGATCCTAAAAATCTCAGGTCGCTAGCTCAATTCGTTCTCGAGTTATCGTGCGTACCGGGTGTTGCAAAAAAGACACAGGTGCGGGCGGGTTTGCCTATCCGCTCTGCCCGTACGGCGCCATAGCCCCTTGGGTAGGCAAACCCGCCCGCAGCTGTGCCTTTTATGAAACACCCGGTACAGACAAACAGATAGACGCGAAACTTTTTGATCATCACTGGGGTAATAGGCTTCGCTAATCGCTCAGCCAATTAGGGACATGAAACATGAAACTTCTGCTGTTCCATAACGGTTTTTATAGAACGTTCCAATTTTGACAGATTGTGTTAAAACGACGTTTAAGTGGTACTAGATAATCTAGGGACCCTCGAGCTTAAAGTAGGGTGTAGTTCGACGTCAACTGTGTAGTTTTAGTATTACTTCCTGCACAATTTTTCAATCTAAGGGGCCTCTCTTACGACCTAATGGACCATTTAGTCGTTGCCTTCTAGCACCCAAACGGTACGAGGTAGGGCACTGGTGGTTGAAGAGATTTTCGTCTTCGCACAGAACTCGAAGGCAAAATATCTCTATTTAACTCAGACACTGTAATACTAGGTTCTAGGTAATACTAGGTAGACACTGTTAGGCTGCGACGCGCCTGGCATACATCTACCCAGGCCTGCGGCGCTGACACCCGAGTCGGGTAGTTGGAAAATGTACACAAAGATAGGGCCTACGGCCCGTCAACGGCCCGTCACCTCGACTAAGCATACAGGGTTGTACAATTTGCGCTTATTTTCGTCAAAAATTCCTTCTAGCGCATCAACGGTTTGAGCCAGAGCAAAACGGACGAAATTTTCGCCCAAAGGCTCTACTTCAGTGAGTGACCACCTAGGAAGCCATAAAAAAATATTTTCAGAAAATGTCATTTTTGGGACTCGTTGTTTTTGATTTTTTCAAAGACCAATTTTTGAGCTAGAATGCTCATCTTCGAACTTGACCTGTCTAAAGATGGTACAAAACGACCCTGAAAATCCCAGGTCGCTCGCTTAATTCGTTTTTGAGTTTTCGTGCGGACAGATACACAGACACACAGACAGACAGAAAAAGTTTTTTCCGACCAGACGGAGTAAAAGGCTTCGCTCATCGCTCAGCCAATGAAATTCATAAACCGAACTCTGGAATTGCTCAGTAACATAGTCACTTAGTGTTGAAGCATTAAACCCTTTAATTTAATGTGAGTCAAAAGCACGGTCTTTCCGTATATGCAAGTCCATTGCGGCACAAAGACAAGAGTACGTTCTCAGTTGGACATCTAAGTCATTGGCTGAGCGATTAGCGAAGCCCATTACTCCACTGACCCGAAAAGTTTCATTCTGTTTGTTTGTGTGTTTGTTTGTTTGTTTGTCTGTCTGTCTGTATGTCTGTCCGCACGATAACTCGA